TGGCTATGAGCCTGTATAGGCAAGGCTGAGTGATGGTGGTGCTTGACCTACAGTAAAAGAACTGTAAAAGAATGAATGCATGCTGAAAGAGAAACAACTGCCCTAGAGATGCTGACATGTTCTGACAGATACAATCTCATGGATTAAGCAGGGTTCTTACACCCTCTCCAAAGCAAAAGTCTATTATTTTAGTTTAAAGCACACACATCTTACTATTTTTATTTTTTTTTGAAGGCACATTAGCTTTTTGTCTATCCACATTCACAACTCTGTCTATGCGGTGTAAAAACACGGGTCGATTTTCACACGGTTCTGAACAAAAACAGCAGACAGGTTGATTGAAAAATGCACATTCATCCTTTGCCAGCAGGCGGCGCTTTCGGAGCAGCAGAAATAATGTGGTTTCCCCGGTAACGGCTGTACATAAAGCAGTGCTGCGCTAATAAACGCTACTTTATCAAACATTATATAGTATGAGAGATGAAATGAAAATGCCATCGAAACTTTTCTGAAGGCAGTTCCCTTTAGAGATACATTAATATAAAACACCCGCTCTGCATTTTGACTAAAATGTTTATTCAACAAAATTAACAAACTATTCATTATTAAAGCAAATTATTATGAAACCAATGCAATTGCAATTTCAAGCCATTTATCCAAAATCCAAGCACTTTTCAAACCTTGAAAGCACTACATTAAAATTCAAGCACGTGACTCATTGCGAAAGTCTACAGAAGAAACGATGAATCATCACTGAGGCTTCTGCCTTTAATCATATAAAAATAATGCAGAAATTGATTGATCGAGAAAGTAATGACTGGATTTCTAGGTATACATTATTGTACAGGGGCGTTTTCTTTGAGGCGGCCTGCGAGAAAAAAAAGCAGTGGGTTTTAAAAAAGATTTTTATTGTTCAATTGCTGAATTACTACACTACCCATAATCCCAAAGTGTAATCAACCAATCAGAGAAGTCACATGTAAAATGGAAATGAGAAAGAAGGGTCATGGTGAGTTTTTGCAGGCCAGCTAAGCTGTGTTAGCTAAAGTTAGCTAGTCACATAGCAACCTAGCTATCTAAAGTTAATTGGTATTAAAATGGTATGAAGTACTGTAGGGTCTGATATAAAAACACGTTAAAAAAAACCCCAAAATTGACCCAGAAACCCCAAGTGCAATGATTTATTGTAATATCTGTAGTAGTTTTTAACGGTTTAAAAAAGAAAAGAAAAGCATTTTTACTGTAATACAATAAAGGTCTAATGAAAATACATTAAAAACTGACCCAGAAAAACCAGCTGATTCAGCTACAACATTTTAAATGTACTTTTTTTTTAAAAATACTTGGTAAAGATGTGTGATTTCAGAGTTGATTTAGAATTCTTTATTTATAATAAAAAAAAAATTATCGCATTGACAAAATTAATGAGAAAAATATTCCCAAAACCAACTAAGGCCACTGAATAAGATAGCGGTCACGGTTATATTGGACTGCCTATAGATTAGATTCAGGTTCATACAAACAAATGCAGTGCAGTTCTAGTAGCATTACTAGCAATCAAGTTTTTCCTCCTGTTGTTCACTTGAAAATTCACAAGGAACGCTCCTAAAGAGGGGAACCACTTCTCCAACAAAGAGCAGCAGCTGGAGGAAGAATCAACATCTGTGCTGCTCAAACAGATGTTCCACAGAAAATAGAGCAGACTGTCTGAATGCACCACTGCAGAAATAATGTACCCCGTCATCTCGCTTCACACACACATCACCCGAATCTTGAGCGGAGCACAGGAAGAGCAGCAGAGCTTTATCCACCACCAACACTTTGATCGAAGACTGAACTACAGAAACCTCAACCTTCATTCGCTCGTGACTCATTGCGAAAGTCTACAGAAGAAACGATGAATCATCACTGAGTCTTCTGCCTTTAATCATATAAAAATAATGCAGAAATTGATTGATCGAGAAAGTAATGACTGGATTTCTAGGTATACATTATTGTACTTTGAGGCGGCCTGCGAGAAAAAAAAGCAGTGGGTTTTAAAAAAGATTTTTTATTGTTCAATTGCTGAATTACTACACTACCCATAATCCCAAAGTGTAATCAACCAATCAGAGAAGTCACATGTAAAATGGAAATGAGAAAGAAGGGTCATGGTGAGTTTTTGCAGGCCAGCTAAGCTGTGTTAGCTAAAGTTAGCTAGTCACATAGCAACCTAGCTATCTAAAGTTAATTGGTATTAAAATGGTATGAAGTACTGTAGGGTCTGATATGAAAACACGTTAAAAAAAAAACCCAAAATTGACCCAGAAACCCCAAGTGCAATGATTTATTGTAATATCTGTAGTAGTTTTTAACGGTTTAAAAAAAGAAAAGAAAAGCATTTTTACTGTAATACAATAAAGGTCTAATGAAAATACATTAAAAACTGACCCAGAAAAACCAGCTGATTCAGCTACAACATTTTAAATGTACTTTTTTTTTTTAAATACTTGGTAAAGATGTGTGATTTCAGAGTTGATTTAGAATTCTTTATTTATAATAAAAAAAAATTTATTGCATTGACAAAATGAATGAGAAAAATATTCCCAAAACCAACTAAGGCCACTGAATAAGATAGCGGTCACGGTTATATTGGACTGCCTATAGATTAGATTCAGGTTCATACAAACAAATGCAGTGCAGTTCTAGTAGCATTACTAGCAATCAAGTTTTTTTTAACTATAATTCCATCATAAGAGATTGAGGGGACTGGACTTTCTGTTTAGGGTAGGTCATGGAATTGCATATTATATGCCAGATCAATTTCATTTTTAATTTAGGAGCTCTAACAGATGGCTTACAAATCATCCAACGGTAAATGGGTTATTTCGCAGAGCAGCCACACCTGGAAAAGCTCCTCATTAGAAAAGCATCAGTGATTTGATCAAAAGCTTTGTGCTCAAGTCACGAATCAAAATGGAAACACTGTAATTAGATGGTGGCAGTGCTCAGCAACAAAGATGAGTATGTATTAACAGGGGACGCACCCTGCGTGTTTCCATCACGTCTGCCGTAACCTCTTCATTATTGCTAAACAGTCACCGCCTTTAGCAAGTCCTGATGGGTGAACCTCATGAAGAACATATCCAGGACTTAGAAAATTAAGCTTATTGTAGAATCTAAAAAAATAATCATTATTATTATTTAATTTTTTTTAAATCAGCACATTAGAATGATTTTTGGAGGATCACTGAAGACTGGAGTAATGATGCTGAAAATTCAGCTTTGCATCACAGGAATAAATTACACTTTAAAACATATTCAAACAGAAAACGGTTATTTTAAATTGTAATACTATTTCACAATATTACTGTTTTTACTGTATTTTTTGTCAAATAAATGCAGCTTTGGTGAGCAGAAGAGACTTCTTTCCAAAACATTACACAATTGAACCAGCCCCAAACTTCTGAACACTGAAAATTTGTGGGGAGATGATCCTGAAATTATGGCAAAATGCTAAAAGTTGGCTTTAGTCTCTTTATGCAAAATATAAGGTCATATTAATGTGACCTGGACAGGTTTTGTATGTACCTCATCAAGGAGGTACAATTGTACCTTTCAAAATGCTCAGGCCTGAATATTTGGGACGTCCTTCGGATACATACATTTGCTAGGAAAATTTGAACACCTATTAAAAATAGCCGTTGAAACTCTCCAGTCAGTGCCTTAAGAATGTCAGATAGGAATATCCCATAAACCGAGAACATAAACTTTATTTACATAAAAACAAAGCAGCATTGCTTCTGGGAATTTAGTTTAGTTTTGTTTCATCTTTGTATGAGCATCTCCAGCTTTCTATGTTGGTGGCCTACTACAATTCACCCAGTTTGTTCTAAAACATCCCAGCAATGCAGTCTGACTCTAGTCACAAGCAAAAAAACTGCAGAGAACATAAACCAAGCTGCACATGACAGCAATGCGGGAAAACAGCAGCAGTGTGTAACAGATAAATGCCATCTCGATTGCCCAGCATTTCCATCATCAGGGTGCAATGACCCACCAGCATCTGGTGGGCTAACCACATTTTCTTTCTATAAACATAATGAGAATTTAAACGGACATTTCCCACAACCACTTAGACACGACACTCAGGTTTCTACAGGAAGTCACACATTTACCACCTAACAAATGAACATACGTACTGTTGCAAAAGTTGTGAATTATACGAATATATATATATATATATATATATTGTATCTATATATATTTATATAGGTATACATTGTATTGTATATATATATATATATATATATATATATATATATATGTTTTTCTAAATATTGTGATATTTATCTACATACATTTTACAGACTTGAGTTGCAAGCTCAACAATGGAAAGACTCAATCAAACTAACATCAAATGTTAAAACAGAAATTCAGACTACTCAGATCGTGTTTCATGAATTAAGAGGCAGAAAGCCATTGCAAAAGTCCTTAAAAGGTCAAAAGACCACGCAAACCTGATGAAAGGACATGCCAGTGGTTTTGACAGGACAAATGTGAAAATTGGTAAATGCTAAAAAAAAAACAAGAATGGTACACATATGAGCAATAACTGACAGTATCATCCAGCCAAATCAAAAAGTGTGGTTGAAAATGAGAGTCTCATGTCTTGACACAATCTCTTCAAAGCAAACTGAAGTATGAGACTTAATGTCAATATTTAACTTCTTTTAACCAATTCAATTTTAAATCTTTAATTTGTCTACCCCCAAAAAAACTAAGTTTGACTGCATGGAAGATAATAGCACACCTCTCCTCAAACCACACAATTTTAGGCATCATTTCTGTCCGTAGCAAATATAGGTCAGAATGAGTCACCCTGAAGTTTTGTAATTAAGGGTTTTTCAAACACATAATAGCAAATGCATATAATAATAACAACATGACATGAACATGACTGTCAGCAACTTGAAACAGCAGCGCGAGCAACAAAAAGGTCAGAGTTTAGAGGAAGGTACCTTGGGATAGTCCAGCTCGAAAAATGTCTCCAGATTGTTTATGAGATTGGGGTCCACACCCTTGAGGGGCTTCAGCAGCGACACACCAGCCAGTTTGCTGTATGGCACCTTTTCTGTGGTCTTCTTGTTGAGATGCAGACGGCTGAAAAGAGAGACAAGGAATGTTTTATATTACACTGTGCATTTCAGTGTTGGGTGTAACACATTACAAGTAGGGTTGCAAAAGGGGGGGAAATTTCCGGAAAATTCCTGAAATATTTCAGAAATTTTGGAAACTTTCCAGGATTTTTTTGGAATATTCCAGGGATTTTTGGAAAGTTTCCGGAAATGTGCCACCCCTTTGCAACCCTAATTACAAGTAACGCAATTTACGTAAACGGATTACTTTTTTTCAAGTAACTAGCAAAGTAACAAGAAAATATCTGAGTTACTTTGTTTTCCCATTGACTGACTGATAGCCCATGCTGAGGTTACTGTACAGTAATTCTAGACTAAATGTGAACATGCATTTACTCATCTCACTAACACGAAAAACAGATTCAGTATTCCTCAAAATGAATAAAAACCGTGCAAATGCAAATTCAGAACATGACGCAAACCTGCAATATTTAAAAACGGTAAATGACACAAATTTCCTTTATGTATTTTACCCCATAATGTCTTTGATGCCGACCTTTGATGATCCAATTCAACCATACTAATAAGCAAAATTTACTTTAAATAAACATAACATTTGTCTTATTTTTATTGCTCAAGAGAGAAAAAAGAGCCCAGCCCAGATCAGAAAAAGTAACACAAATGTAACGTAACATTACTTTCCACAAAAAGTAACTAAGTAAAGCAATTTGTTACTTTTTTTTTTTAGAAAGCAACTCAATATTGTAATGCATTACTTTTATAAGTGCATTTCAAAAATTATAAGTGCATTTCAGGTGTCCACAGGGTAAAACATGTTGTGTGTATATCCATGCAAGCAGGATGTTATGTTGCTTTCTTTGTGCAGGATGGTGAATTTCAGGGAGGTTTTGAGTCGAGTTCACATTGAGTCAAATCCTGGTGACTCTATTTGCAAGCATCCTGCAGTAACCAAATGAAGGCTGCAGCACACAAGCATGCAGTGGGACGGTGCATTATTTTAAACAGTGATCAACTGTTTGTTTGCAGTTTGACTGGCAGCTGATAGTTCATCTATGTACCGCAACAAGGCAGGTGATCCAACTGGTTTAATTTCCCAAGTTACTGCAGTTTCACTATTAAAGATATGTCAGTTATGTCAGTTCACACTTATTACACTTTGATTAAAAAAGAAAGTCTCTCAAAGTCTATGGGGTCAGGTGGCCAGCTTTTATTATATTTATGATGTTACGAGCACCTCTTTGGCTCAGTTTCAGGACGGAAATCAAATCAGAGCATTCCTGGATGTCACAAAACTCTTTAAAAACCCTCTTATATTCAAACTATTTCGGAGAACTGTCCGTGTTCATATTATGTCTTGTTTTGATGGCCCAATGCTCAGGTAATGCCGAGTTAACCGTGTCAATGTTTATAGAGGCATTTTAAAATTGGGCGATTTGATCAGCAATTCCGGCACCCTCTGCTTCTCAGGATCTCCACTTGTGCACTTCCTATCGGTTCCTGTCTGAAGGGTCTGGAGTCTTTCCTGACACTTGCCAGCACAGTAGCCAGCAGTAGCCATTAAAAGCTGGAAGAAAGATTTTGCTGGCTGAGCATGTTTGGTTCTGAGAGATAAGTTTGTCTATCTTGACTGCCAAAACATCACTGTTGGCACTTTCTTGTGAATTTAAAACAACATGTTAAGCTCCATCTAATGCCAAGACTGAGCATTAAGAAAATGAGAGCTAAAACTCTATAAACTGCCATTTCTATTAGTGCATAATGAAGCGATATACAGTATATCGGCCAGGCAGATTAATCTACAGATATTTGGCCATTTTGAAAATATCAGCATTAACTGATTGCCTGACTAATTGATTAAAAGCAGTGTACAGAACAGTTGTCCAAATAAATTTCAGACTATAAGCATAAAGTCGTATTATACATAGATATGCAAATTATAAAGACCGATAATCATTTTAACCGATATTTGTTACAGCTAATCAAACTTTTCTTCATAATCAGTTATCGGTTTATATGCTATTTAGGAATAAATGGCATTTGCTTAATGGGAAAGTAACTTGCTAGATGTATTATTTTTGTGTATTATTCAACCTAACTAGCAAATATTTCTCTCAAGTGAGAAATGCATAGCGCTCTTAGCTTTAAGTTGCCTTTTCACCATCCCAAACACACAACAATTCATTTATTTGCAGAGAGTTATGATCATATGCATATATTTTTTGATCCATTTTGAGTTTTTGGTGTGTTCTAATTCTAAAACTATGAGCACAAGATGAGAACTAGCAATATTTTTGCACTTAAACAATGTTTTAAACATGTTTTCTGTAAAACAAGGCAGTTATGAATAATTATGTCCAAAATAATAATTTTTTTATGGTATTTAACTCTGGAAAAACCTATGCTTTTATTTAAAATGTATTGACGGTCATTTGTTTTGTGTGGACATATTTATTTCACTATTAATACATTTTAACATGGTGAATAAGTGGAGGGTAACGGCTGCTTTACGACCAATTTTCAAATTTACCATGCGACTGCCACTAGGGGAATTGTTGAAATGCGACAATCATGAATGTTGAAAATAGTGAAACGTAGCTAAAAAAAAAGTTATTAATCATTATTTTTGTTGCTGTTGTTTTTTTTAAATTTACATTTATTTTTTAACCCTTAAGCATAATAATCAGTACATATCATATATTTAAAACACACACATTACATAAGCCACCTTACCTAAATGTTCATTTCCCACATTGCCTGATCCCATCCCACACACTTCTCTCTATAATTTCCATCTTTTTACCATCAATAAAGTTGTAAAAAGGCAAACAATGTCTAGCCCTCTCTTGATGACCTACAAAATCATATGTAATATTATGTTAGTGAAGGAAAGGCCTCTCATTCACTCTGCTCTGCACATGTGTTTACAACAGCTCTTCATCAGTTCATGCCTGCTGGAGGTGTCTGCCTCTCTCACGCTCCATTAAATATGGGGGGCAACACGGCCTCATCTCACCACCTCACACCATTAGCGGAAAGGGAAGCAACACCACTACCCAGTGCTCAAAGACTACATTCCTAAAATAACAATGTATAAATTTTAATGAACCATCAGGAATTCATTTCCTTTGATTATTCATGGTACACGGATGCCCCAAGGTGGAAACACAGCTTTTAAAATAAAGCATTATTTCATAGATTTGTATGTGGGAGGCACATTTCTAAAGTACAGCATAATAAATGGTCATATGCTAGTGCTCAGTATGCATCAGTTATACTACTTCAATTTGGTTTCAAAGTTTCTGACAATCTTATGTTAATCTTGAGTACCTAGAGAGTAGTACTGCATCCTTCATATCTCTGAACAGTCTTTAGTTTTATCAGATTAAAAAAAAATACAGATACAGCGGCACCGCTTCTCTCCGAAAACAGTCGAGCTCCTGGAGGCATGCCGTGGGCGGAGCTAAAGAGTCACGAGCATGTACAGCTTTTGTAAAATATAATAAATCAATAAATAAACAAAACAGGAATGAACACTGGGTTCTTTGGGAAGCTGAACATAGTTATCTTTCCCTTACAACCAATAGCACACTTATTTGGTGACATTGTTGAATTCGTGATCTAGAAACAAAATTACAAATCCTTCTTGAGCAAGTTCTGTGCAGAGCTGCCAATGACTTCTGTAACCCAAATGAAGCACGCTGCTGATGGGCTGCTCTTGCTTTCCCTCTGGTTGATGGGTGCAGTCACTCTTCCAGTAAAAGTGCCCATACAAGGAATTCCACCCTTCATACAGGGCCATACTCGACAGAAAACTTTCTGAAAATTATACAAACCCAGAAGGAGTGTATTTGGCACAGATATGCTCTGTCATATGTCCAACTCAACCTGCATTGTTCTACAGATATGAAGGACACTTTCAAACTCGTGCTGCTCGAGGAGAGGCAGGGCTCTCAATAAGGATCACCTGATGGTCTTGCGTCACTGTATGAAACCTTCGTTCAGTTGAATGAACTGAATATACTCTCTACATTAAAACAACATGTATGTCTTTATGCCACGACATAAGAAAAACACCTTCGTTTTCCAGAAAAAAAAGTTATGAATTAATATGTTAATGCTGGAATTATAATAAAAATATAATAATTAACAAATAATAAATTGATGAATTTATATGTAACTTTCATGACTTTATAGCTGTATAAACTAGAGGTCGACCCATATGGGTTTTTCACTGGCCGATGCAGATATTTAGAAATCAGGGCAGCCGATGGCCGATATATGATGGAGATTTTTTGGCCGATTTTCTTCTCCATCTCATAAAAGTGAGTTTGAGTAAATGATTATTGCAGGGTACAAGATAGTAATAGTAGTAGTAGCCTAATTCAGAGTAATAATACATGGCTCAAAACTTTAGCACCTTCTCAAAACAGTTCTGAAGCATGCTTTTAGTTTATGTTTGCTGACAGACACCAGTGTTTCCCACAGACTTGCAAATGCAAATTCATTCTCTGCCAGCAGGAGGCGCTGTTGGAGAGGAAGGTATAGCGGTTTCCCCAGTAACGAAAGCTGTAATCGAATAAGCACTGCGCTCACAAACAGTACTTTATCAGGCATTACAGGAAAGACTAAATGAAAATGACATCAAAGCTTTTCTGAAGACGGTCGGTTCTTTTTAGTGGTCGACCGATATGGGTTTTTTGACAGCCGATACAGTTATCTTGGAAAGCAGGGTAGCCGAGAGCCGATATAATTGTATTTATTTTAATTCATATTTAAGAAATTTGAAATCATTTCGGAGCGGACATTGTCATAGTTACAGTTGTCAACATCACCTTTGTATTTACTAAAAACATTACGGAAATTTGTGTTTGTGTCATTCTGCTATTAATTGTTGTCATTATTTACCTTTTATTTTCGTTTGGCACAAGTGAAGATGTTTTTGATGATTTGCCTAAAGAGCATACCTGTGAGGTTACGATTGAATGAAATATAATTTTATTTACG